CCCCCCCACATCAAGATAGTTTGGCCAGTCCGACAGTCATTGGAGCCTGGGAGGAAAAAAGTGCTCAGCATCCACCATTTGTTGAATCAAGGAAGATTTTGTTACCGCCCTTACACATCAAGCTGGGTCTGATGAAGAACTTTGTCGAGGCCATGGACAAAACTCAAGCAGCTTTCAAGTACCTCTGTGGAAAAATTCCAAGATTAAGTGAAGCTAAGATAAAGGAAGGTGTCTTTGTTGGTCCTCAGATTCGTGAACTTCTTCGAGATGATGCATTTGACCATGCACTGCGTGGCAAGGAAAAGACGGCATGGAAAGCCTTCCAGTTAGTGGCAATAAATTTTCTCGGAAACAACAAGGCAGACAACTACAGGTTGTTAGTGGGAAAACTTCCTCAAGGCATACAAAAGCCTTGGTTGCAACATGTCACTAAAGATACATTTTTTGCACTCTCATCTAGATTTTTTTTCTACCGAACTGCGGAGCAGTGAGCGATGATCACGGAGAGTGATTTCGCCAGGACATTGCAACAATGGAGAAACGCTATCAGGGCAAATGGAGCCCATCAATGCTTGCAGATTATTGCTGGACAGTGACAAGAGATGCTCCATTTAATGAATATGAGACACAAGCCAAGAAGCGCCGAGTAGACACTGAATAGGACTAAACTATGTACATAATAGTTTTTTGCCTTTTGTTTCATCATACATTTTATTTATATAACCCTTTTGCTGATTTTGAAAGTGTTACATAAACAGGACAGGTGAAATATTATCATGTAAAGCAACCATAAACACATGAAAAGACCTAGGTTTACAATTTATGATTAAAACTCTACTATCTATACAATATACATAGATGTAAAATGTAAAAACTTAAATATCTTTTAAGTGTAAACAGTAGCCAATCAGTTGTTTTGATTGTCATATTTGAATTCAGCATATCAAAATATATAATAAATAGCATATTTTATCTCTGAAGCAGATGACGTCTAAAAAATTGTAGACTAGTGTAATCTCAATTAGTTCTTCAGAGAATAGATGAGGGTGGCCAATCCATTTAACAAAGAGAGCCGAAACAGTGGCAGGGGGGAAAAAAAGGGCGAAAAAAAAAAAAAAAAAAAAGAGGCTGCCCCTTTAAGAAATAAGCGTAGGCTTTTTGCCCATATCAGGCTTCTGTTGACAGCTGCCATTTTGAATTGCCACCCCCAGTAAGCACGGGGGTGGAGGCTGTTGGGGGGTGAGGGGCACAGAAGCGGCTCCATGAGCCACACTTTCGGGGGAGAAGAGCCGCATGCAGCTTGCGAGATGCGGGTTGGCCATCCCGGGATAGATTGTCTCCAGTGGCCTTTACCAAAGACTGGAACAACTATTTGATTGACTGGTATGTCACTAGCAAAGTGGCAAAGTTCATTCAACACTTATCCAGCAATTTGAACCTGAGTTCTTAGATGAATGTGTACCGTTCAGCTTAGAGCTTGGAAATAGGTGTCTGCAAATTTGGAGGAGGTGGACACACTGGGAAAGTAGAACATCCCTTGATCTGGAGAAAGTAAAATTAGAATAGAGAAATAAGGGAACTCAGCTCTCCCAATTTATAAGCCAAAGTTACTGCATTCATCCCATTCTCCTAGTCCCCATGTTTATAATAAGTCACACAAAATGGATTATCATCATCATCATCATTCTAGGTAACCTGATGATCTTGGTTTCTCATGTGTAACCATCTCCTGGCAATTGAATATGCTTCCCAAAGAAAATCTTTTAACTTTATGCCTTCAATCAGTTCATCTGTCCAGAATACATTTCTGATGGCATGGAAATTGAAAGACTGTAGAATTTAGAGGGGTGCCACCTTGTCCTGTTACAAGATCTCCATTGCTTATTACATAAAGATTTTAATCTAACAGTGCCACTTGTGCCTATAAGGCATATCTACAGCATGTCAGCCTTAATGGCTTGTAGATCTGAGCCACCTGTCTCATCAGTTGGTAAATTAGCCACTGCTCTTTCACTCTCACCAGTTGGAAGTGTCACCATGGATATCAAGTTATAATTTGGAAGTAACAAGTGGAAACTCCACTATACTAAGAATTTCTTGGAATTTCCGCTTGTTACTATGTCTGCTTCTTACTCTGAGATGTTGGAGTGCACGATAGGAAGAGAAGAACACGTGACAGAGAAGTTCATTCTAGTTTGTAGAACTAATATTATTCTAATTCCCAGTCTCTCTCTTCCTGTCCTAAATCCTCCCTGCCTTCACTTACAGCATGGTATTTGATATAGGCTATATATATATTTGCTCTACTATTTTGTGCTTCTGAAGGGGAAGACTTAGCCAAGGAGCTTTAACACTAAGGGTACGTCTAGACTACAGGCCTCTGTCGCCAGCTGTTTGTCGGCTCAGCGCGGCAGTCATGTAAATTTAAATGAAGCGGCAATTATTTAAATCGCTGCTTCATTTTACTATGCCTGGTAGCCTAATCTACATGCCTCTGTCGCCAGAGGCATGTAGTCTAGACGTACCCTAATAGTCATTTATACTATAGGCAGGTAATATGGGAGACTGCAACAATCTGGATTGCTCATCTGGAAATGCCCTAATTAGCATAAACTTTTAGAGTGCTGATGAAGTAAAGAGAACTTTGGTCAAAAAGTTAAACTTTTGGATAGCAGCTTTAATTTTACATCATTGTATTATTCATTCATGCTTCTTGCATGGATGTGCAAGGAATATGAACATTTAGGTTAAATTAGTACAATTTAAAAATTCCTGAGAATAAAGAACTATTTGGGCATACATCTGCATTTCTGTTAACATAAGAACATACAGTTAGCTTTGTCATATTGCTGTTATAAATCCTTTTTTGGTAAAAATATAGGTTTTATTGGGTTTTGTCTCATTTCAGTAGCATAATATATAATCTTACCTTCGTGTGCTGGATGTGTAATTTGGTATTCTATATTCGTACAGTTGTAACAGATAAGCTTTAGATGGCGAAAAGTAGCACAGATATTACTGAATTTGATTCTTGATTTAGATTACTAGTTTTCATCTCAATAGTGAAGTCAAATAAATAGTTCAGGGAGAAGGGTAAGAGGACATAGACAATACCAATCATATAGTAATTTTATGTGCAAGTTTGTTTTTTGTTTTGTTTTAAATGTAGATCAAAGAAAGCAAAGAATTCAATAGATAAATCAACAGAGACTGATAATGGCTATGTCTCCCTTGATGGGAAAAAGACAGGCAAAAGCAGTGAAGATGGAGTACAGACCCATGAGCTCCACTGTGAAGTGATTAGGTCAGAAGAGGGAGGTTGGAACGCTGGTACTCTAAGAAACACTTACAACAATCATAATCATCACAAAGTAAGCCTAGTTCATTGTTTCTAGAAACAGATTTACATAACTAACAGTAATGTATTGAGTTACATGCACATTTTATTTCTGTGACCATTTGGAAAGTTCATATTTAGATCATGACCCTGCTTTTATTAAATAAAAAGTTTAAAATATAACTTTTGTTGGGATACTAAGGGCCTAAGTGCAAGATCTAGTTCTGGATTTCTCACTCTTAAATTTTTCCTTATGTTTTCTCTTTGCTTCTCTATCAATATTTTCTTCCTTCACACGTGTGAAAAATGTTAGAGCAGTATTTTAATAAAAAAAAGTAAAATAAAATTTTCAGTTTACAAAATGTACTACAAACAACTGAATTTTGACTTGAAACTTTTTGTAGTTATGTCTGGAGTCATTCTTCCTTTGGACATGACATACCATATTGTACAACTTAGGTTATCCCAAAGGCAAAATATTATTTTTGAGAAAATATTTTATTACATCTAAATTGTTGTAATTCATGTGAGTTTTACTTCATAAATATTTTGCCATAGACGCAGAACTGGTCACCTAGGATTGGGCAGCTGCATATCTTCGGTTCAACTCCTGTCACCAGAACTTCATTTAACTGACTTTTAGAGTCTCTGCTTTTTTCAACTTGACTCATCATCATGTGTCCTTGTATTTCTTATTTGTTTTGTCCTTCATGAGAAGACTTTGTTTCTACCTCACCTGCCTCTGTTAGATTTTTTCCTCTGATGTGGGCCAATCTCTCTGCTACTATTAGACAAATTTCACATTAATGGTGACTTTGAAAATTCAAACAGCCCCCTATATCATCAAAAGATTTCTCTGCCAATCCTTCTTGTTTATAGTTTCTCTTTTCCCTTCTCCTGTGCATAAGTACTGAGATCTGCAAGTGATTTGTTTCCTTCGTTATGGAAGGAAAAAGACTTTCTGGAAGGCAGAACACAGAGGTGATTGGAGAGAAGAAAGGTAGGCTTCAGAGAGCAGGGCATAATGAGGAGGAAGCATGTGTTGTTCAACAGAGAGCTTGGCTGGCTAGATGTGATAGCTCTCAGTTGTCCTATTTCATCTTACTTCATTCTCCCCAAAACAATTCTTGCATTATTCATTCTTGGTACATAAAGATTTGGAAGTGTATCATTTAAGGAAAGTAATGGAAAGAAAATGAAGAGCAGCTTTTTATTCTATCTCTTAGAAGGGGTGTTTGTTTGGGTGGGGAGGGAAGATCTTTTAAAATTTAGAATAAATTACAAAAAAAAGTTTTGTCCAGGTAAAATAATTTCTAATGAAATATAAACATGTGTGGCATTTCCCATTAGGCCTGCTAACATTAGCAAAAAAGAAAAAATATGTTATCTTTGGTAGTATATCTCTTCCTGTGCCTTTTTCTTGTAGTCTAAAAGAGGGAAAACTGTTTCCTGTGGTCTACTCAGCAAAAAGGGATTATTAAATATTTAATTAAAATTATTCATGAAATAAACTTAATTGCAGTACTTAAGATGAATTAAAAGACCATTATGAAACAACACTGTGATTTACTAATAGCAAATTGTTAATTGGTCTAGGATACACAAAGGACAGTAACAAATATATCTGATGAAGTTTCAAGTGAGGAGGGAGCTGAATCTGGATATCTCTTACGCCGTAATGTAGAACGTGCTTCTAGTGACTGTGCTCTTCGAAACAGAAAGTCGCACCATTATAAGAAACACTACGCTGTGGAGGTATGTTCTTTTCCTACAAGTCCTTTTCGTAACTGAAATTTGCCAGTGTTTCATTGATCTTCTGAATGCATTATGGATCACTGGAATTTAGTGATCTTCTGTTAACAGGCAGTTGTCATTAATAATTCATTCTGCTCATTAAAATAATCTTGTGAAATAATTAACCCTCTTTTTCTCAGCCATGTTAGTCTGTAACTGCAAAAACAATTAGGAGTCCCGTGGCACCTTAAAGACTAACAGATTTATTTGGGCATAAACGTCCATGCATAAAAACTACTTTGTCAGATGTCTTTCTTTGATGATTGTGATTAGGTGTCCAGTTTATACAAAAGTCAGTTTAAAATTTACCATATTTTTCACTTATTGGGAGAAAAGGTCCCACAATCCATATCTATGCTATTCTAAAAGGGGAGGAATCCGTCATGCGGTCTGTCACAGAGAATATTTGAGAAGACTTGAGAAGTTTTTAGGTGAAGGCAGGCCCCCAGTCCCACCCTCACCACGGGGAAGGAAACCAGCATGCTGAGCCTGCACATGCCTCAGCAGCCCCCGCAGGTCACTTATTGGGAGAAAAGGTCCCACAATCCATATCTATGCTATTCTAAAAGGGGAGGAATCCGTCATGCGGTCTGTCACAGAGAATATTTGAGAAGACTTGAGAAGTTTTTAGGTGAAGGCAGGCCCCCAGTCCCACCCTCACCACGGGGAAGGAAACCAGCATGCTGAGCCTGCACATGCCTCAGCAGCCCCCGCAGGGAAGAGGTCACGCAGCCCCAAGCCCTCTCTTCCCCCCCCCCCCCCC